GGCCTATAAACATTTAAATGGAGGCTGTCATAAAAAAATATATTAATTAAACACTGAAGAACAGTAAACATTTTTATTAATTTATTATATGGTGCATATATTTAGCAAAATGCCCCTCTCTACGTTTATTTTTCTATCTGACTAATGAGTTTATGGTCACCGAATATGTTTTTGTGAGGTAAATGTGACGTTACGTGACATTGTTTACAAGCCGTTATATTGACGTCTTTGCGTGGCTGAAATTTTACTGACTGAGCGATTACATGAGACAGGATATGGATTGTAAAGTTATAGTCTTTTTTTAAACTTACCTTCGGATGTTTAGTCATGTTTATTTTGTGCTGAAACTGGTATTAATGTGGAGGAGATGATCAGTTCCCGTGCGCTACACGCTGCCGCCTTTATTGTACCGAGTCGCTACAGCAATCTGTCACTCCACATTAAACAGCGCCAAAACGGCATTTATTGTTTGAATACTGCAATACAATGGACAGAATTTGAAATCTGAGACTTTGAAACAGTAGCAAAGCACAATGTTTATTGCTATTGCAATATATTTGATGGGAAGTACCCTTCAATATTCCATCCATTAACTGAAAACAGGCTAGACTAATCGATTCTTGGGATTTAAGAATCAAAATCATTCCTAAAAATTAGAATTGTTTCAAATCGAGATATCTTAGTCTCTTCACATCCCGATAGCAATCACTCAGTTAAGGGGTCTAAATGTATTTATAGGCGTAGGCGTATAGGCAGGCGCAGGACCATAAAATGTTCGACCAATCATATCCCTCGGTCCGAGGGCTACGATAGGCTGTCCTACCTGCCTGTCATTGTATGTATTTGCACACCTGGTCACGCAGGCATGATACATCGTCAGCGCATTCCATTCAGCTATTGCAGACCAAGTGAGAATGAAAGGCGTCATTAGTGTAATATTTTGCACTTTGTACTGTAATGTTTTGTCACCGATGAATGAGACATGAGGTAATCTGACAGCGTTGCATTCAGTCTTGCTGGTTAGCCTCTGGTCTGTGCGTGTTCATGTGTTTTGGAGGAGGCGTGGATTTGGAGAATGATTATGCAGAGAGGGTGGGATGTTATGAAATCGACTACCATATCTTTAACAGGATTGAAAAAAAAAACAGTCATTAAAGTTTGTTTCATGACTGTGATTTTGTGGCGTCATAAAACTATCAATGATTGACCACAAAAACCTGCAGGACTAAATAAAGGCAGTAACTTACAGTAGATAATATACACTACCGTTCAAAGAGTCAGTCATTTTTTTATTAATAAAATTGATACTTTATATAGAAACTAATACTTTCTTTTGGCAAGGATGCATTAAACGGATCAAAAGTTACAGTCAAGACATTTATAATGTTACAAAATATGAAAATGCTGTTCTTTTAAACTTTCTAATTAAGCATCCTGAAAAAAAATCATCACGGTATCCACAAAAATGTTAAGCAGCACATCTGTTTTCGACATTGATAATAATAAATGTTTCGTGAGCAAATCAGCATATTAGAAGGATTTCTGAAAGATCATGTGACACTGAAGACTGGAGTCCCTATTGAAAAATAAATATACTAAAATGTATTTGAAATACATTTATTTCATGATAAGTGTACTACAAATACATTTGCATTCATTTACATTCAAATTAATATATTACCGTTAAAAAGATATCAAATAGAAAATTGTAATAATATTGCTGAGATTTTTGATCAGATAAATGCAGCCTCGGTGAGACTTCTTTCAAAAACATATTAAAAAAATCTGACTGACCCCCAAACATTTGAATGGCAGTGTGATCAGCCAGTGTTTATTTTGCAGTTGCCAGTTTTGAAGTGATGGTAAAAAGGAAACAGATCGCTGTGTGACTGCTCTGATTGACTTACGGTGGTGCTAATTTAGTTCTAATCCGCTTGGCATGGAAACATGTTCTCATACCTGCACAGATCTCTTTACGTGGGCTGTAGCCCAAACACAGCTGTTATTTCTAGCCTAAATATCTCAACATGTACACTTCTAGTATGTATTCTATCAGAGATTTAATATGTATTATTTTTTGTCCTTCTTGTTTCTCACTCTGCCTAGCCTTTTTGAGCTCTCATTGGAAGAAGTCCCAGTGTTTTGTAGGTCAGATATTAGCACATCGTGCCACATCATGTGGTGACGTGACCTGCAATTTAAAAATGTTGTTCAATATTTGATAGACCCCTTCAGAATCTGGCTACAAAGCATTTGTGGCCCAAATTCTTTTACATGTCTGAAAAAGAAAGACTAAAGACGGATTGCTTTTGAACTGTAGGTCAGTCATCAGATTATGTGCAATTATTTTATAATGAAACAAACAATATATTGACTTCTAAAGCCACTATTTTAAATGTCCATTTACTCATAAAATAAATAGTTTTGAATGATCTTCATTTAGGTGGCAAATGTTAATTTATCCAATTAATATAACTTCATATCATGTTATTAATTCAAAGAAAAGTTAAATGATTTACACTTCTATTAAAAATTAAATGTGTTTTCAACACGTACTATTTTCAAAACATTACATTTAAAAAAACACTAGGTTTTAATTTTATACACAATCTACATACAGTCTAACATATTCCCTCAAATGTTGTTATTGTTTATGAATAGGTTAATTCAGACAAAACACAATCCTAACATTATCTTACATTCAGAAAAATGTCACCACAACCATATTTTGCTAAACCAAGCATGTTCATTTATACAGACTAAGGTTCAGATAGCTGTACACTCCTCCTTTATATATATGTAGTTATATTTTAGCACTATTTATTTACTATTATAGCAGTTTAAAAAAAAAGTTTTTTTATTATATAAAACTTTATATACATTGTACTTTATATACATTCATTTTAATTTTAGTTTATCATGTCCTTTGTATTAGTTTTTTTATATATATTTCCATGTTTATTTTTATTTCAGTTTGAATATTTTTTGTGCTTTAACTTAATCTAATTTATTTCAGTTAGTTGCCAAGTAATTTTCGCAAAGTTTTTCATCTAAAATGTATATTTTATTTTATTTCAGCTTACAATTACCAAAAACAATTTTAATAGTTTTTGTTTTAATTAACAATAACAACACTGATACTGACAACACTGCTATTTATATACTAATATTTAAAGTTTTTACATTTCAAAAGTTTTATTTTATATTGTATAAAATGTTTTTATATTATATAAAACAAATTTTTTTCAGTTTTTATTTTAATTTCAGGTTTTCATGTTTTTCTCATGTGTTTTCTACAAAATATTTCTATATAGCTTTTATTTCAGTTTTTAGTAATTTTAGTAATTTAACTTTAAACTTATTTCAGTTAGTTGCCAAGGCAACATTTCATTTTTTTTTTAAGTTTTCCATTAAATTAGATTTTATTGCAACTTCATCTTCATTTTTGAGTTTACAATAATCAAGCGTAGCGTTAGTTCTGGCAGGTCACGTTAGTCAAGCTCGCATCAGCTGACTCTCAGCTGATCCCCATCAACCTATGGGAATACAACACCTATCTAAGCATTCATATATAAGGTCCCTCAGTATTATCAGCAGTTTTCGCATTGCTCAATAGCTAATTACCCTCCTCCATCCCCAACTCCTCCTCTGTCAGTCGGGATTCAGCATTCTGATTCTCCTTGAATCAGACTAATTCTAAAATGTGTACATAAAAGGATTGAACTTAACAATATCTGCAATACATTTATGTTAGTTCTGTTCTGTTTACCCTGGGGGGGTTATCGCTGCTCTCCCTGCTCTCATCCATGCTAGGGTGCATGGAGGCGCAGGGAGTTCTTGCCCAGAACAGAACCATACCGCCAATCCAAACTGTATGCTAATTGTCAATCATCTTTAACGATAGTGGTCCTGACAGAAGTGCTGCCAAACGATTAATCGCGATTAATCACATCCAAAATAAAAGTTTTTGTTTACTTAATATATGTATGTGTACTGTGTATATTTATTATGTATATATAAATACACACGCATAGAGTATATATATTTTAAAATATTTACATGTATATACATTTATATTCTTATATTTTATATTGTACATAAATATATTTAATATATAAACACAACATATTTTTCTTAAATATATACATGCATGTATTTGTATTTATATATACATAATAAATATACACAGTACACACGCATATATTATGTAAACAAAAACTTTTATTCGTGATTAATCATTTGACAGCACTAGTTAACAATAACAACACTGATGTGGTGCTGTGATTGTGGAAGTGTCTGTCTGTTGTGCTGCAGCAGTACAGTATTATGACATTAATCTGGAAGGTACCATATTGTGTTTGAAGG